TACACGGGGAAATCTCTCTATCTCATTCTTCAATAAAATCAAGGTGGCAATAATCTTCGATAAATCTAAGCTGGAAAATTAAGGTTATTTTCGGGAAGGAGACAAAATTACGCATATTGGGTCAAAATTACAACTTTCAAAAAAAAAAAAAAAAACTAATGGCTTTGCCCCTTGTTTGGTGATAGACAATCTTTTATGTTTTGCTTTGCAAATCATTATCGCTTTTAAGTAAAACGCATATGTGTGTGGTTTTAAATAAACTGTAAAATCGTTAAAACAAAGAATATAGTTCTTTCCGATCATTGTATAGTACAGATACATGCAAACACCTTCAGTTATTGAATACTAAAAATAAAAGCACCGTTTACAAAACTAAATTTAAGCAGTGTCGCGCAAAGAGTAAGTTTATTTGATAGTAAATTTATAATTTTTTCACATAAAAACCTAACTATTACGTACACTTTTAGTAGAAATTAAGATTATTTCTTCTACGCGAATGAATCAGGGGAGAGAACTTTTCAGACGAGGGGAACACGGATATTGAAATGTGTTGCTGCCATGGGCACGTGTCGTAGAAGTGGTGCCACAGGAACAATGGTCCAAGGGAAAAGATCACAATTCAACAAAACATATCTTCTTTGGAAAAGGAGCACTGGATTTTCGTGTAATTCATATTCGAGAACACGTGTCTCCTTCCCTGCATGCGCGGGTGGTTATATCTCAAAAATCAATATATAAAATTTTACTATATCCTAATTATTAGATTCGCATAAAATGCGCAACCTTAACAATCTATGGACAATCATGAAAATCAGAAAACGAGCACGCAGAGAAGGAAAGAGGATCTTACACCAACCTTTTCTCGCTCACCAACACCGAGTGTAAACACACTTAGAATCAAAGAATGATAGCGTCCATCCAGGGAACCGGCTTGGTTAAGTTAAGATAACTCTCGGTTGTAGTTAAGATAAACTAGGTGCAAGGCACCGTTGAAAATTAATGTTTTCAGATTTAGAAGAGAGCAAGACTGTTTCAAATTTGGGTGTATTGTGATAGCATCATCACAGATATATCATGGTTTTAAATATTAAACATTACAAATCCCTAAAAATTTGCAAGAAGTTATACTTAATAATAAGATGATGAAAAAGATTTTCCTTTTAAGAATCTGTTTTCAATGGGGGGAATAACTCATTCAAGGATTTTTGAAACGTTTATATATACAGACACTAATATATATATTTATGAAGTATGCATTGTTAACACTTAAATCTTTAAATCCGGTAAGAAAGCGTTATTTTCGTACATTTGATGTTGAAATTGACTCTCTACTAGCTTTTATTTTATTTTTTTAAATTATCTTTCATGATGACAGTCATAAAAAAATAAAAACTACATATAAGCAATTTTAGACCTAGCAGATCAGTGAATGACAATAAGTAGTCAGGTTACAATACTGTCTAATTTTTAATACATTGTCCATTATATACATTGTATAGTCTTTATTATATATTATCTATTTATTATATATCATCTATTTATTATAAATTATCTATTTATTATAACAGTCTATTATTATTATACAATAGTTAGTATACTATAAAGAGCTTAGAAACAATAAGTGACATTCTGCACAACACAAGTTAAAAAATTTTGGATTAAAAACATGTTCAACTGTATGAAAAGAGCATTATATACTTTCTAAAAATAGAACGAACAATATGTCACTTAACACCTTCTTCATCAAACCTCTCCAACCGTGAAGGAAAAAAAAATTAAAGAAACATTAAGACGAAAAATTTTTTTTATGAGTTACAATTCAACACCACCATTAGGAGTCAGCTTATACCAATAAAACACAAATGTCCAATAAAACACATATGTCTAAATTCTTTTTATCGAATTTTAAATCGTTTGAGGTTCCTCCAACCCCAGATTGAGATCAATCAGCAGCAACAGAAACGATAACAGAAAATGTTTAGCCAACGGAATAAATACGCAATTTATATATATGCATATTTTTTTTTTTACAGCAAGACAGACACACGAAGAGAAAAAAATGTCCGTTTTTAAATATAACTGAATCGGTTAGAAATGTGACGATCAAATAGCACTTTTATCATTCCATCCGTCACATTCCCATTAGGAAGAAGAAGAAAAAAACATACATAAAAAGAAAGAAAATCATCGATCTTAGAAATGATTGGAAATTCGATAAAGGAAATATTCAAAAGATACACTCCTAGTCCAGGGTGCCAGGTAAAATCTAACAAAATTCTCAGAAAAATGTCAATTTCGTTCGAGGATGGTGGAATCTACATTTATCGACAACACCTCAGCTATGATGGTTCCAAGAACATTTTCTCTTCTTCCAAGAGAGTCAGAGATGGGGAGGGAAAGAAACGTTTCCACATCCCGACAGGACTATTTTTAGTAACCCCATTTTCCATTTCGCTCCGTGTGAAATAAATAATAGAATCAGGTAGAAAGGTTTTCCCTTGCAACTTCACCACATTCTCCAATTCCGACTGTGTTCACTTAAAGAACTGGTGCAAGAAGAGTGCTTGCACGAATTTGCACTACAGAAATGTGCAAATTAGAAAGGAATGAAAACAATGCACATAAAAAAAAAGAACCATTTTAGTAGAAATTTACGAAGTTTTAGTTTTAGAGCGATAAAAAAAAGGTTATTTTCAGGGCCTAACTACTACAAAAGTAGACTAGGCAAATTTAAGGGGCCTCAAATTTCCAAGGGAAGAAAAAACTTAGTCAACTTAATTTCAAAGTTGTTCTCTTGTATGCATTTATGGGTGATTCTTTCTAAACATGACAATTCGGATCAAAAAATTACTTCAAATTTAAAGTCCTCAAAATAATCTAAAAATTTTTTTGTATACTTCCTTAGTTACACTTATTAATATCTTACAGGCAGCAGTGTAGTTTATTGACATTTGCTCGAGAAACAAAATACAATAGAAATTCATCATATCTTGAATGCCAGGAAAATGACAGATTAGTTTTGAAGTTTAAAAAACAGTAATTTTAAGTTAATAGTAAGTAACTCAACTTAAGCCTTTATGTTAGATGGACCATAAATTGCTTAAATTAATTCTTTTTATCCACTGTAGGAAGAATCAAAAAAAATTTTTTTGCTGATATGCACAGAATAAAATTGTGTATAATAATCATTAGATAAATAAATAACTTCGATTACACTCAAGCATATTACAATCATACATAAACTTGGTATTAGGTAAATATTTGCTTTCCCTCCTTACAGTACTAGCAGTTAAAAAAAAATCTGGTGATACTTCAATGTTCTGGCATTCATAAGCCAGGAAAATGACAGCCAGGATAATCACAAATTTGTCATTTTATAACATATAACTTTAATTTAATATTTTGGCCTAAGACGTTTATATTCTGCAGAAAATAACAGGATTTCTTAAAATAACTCAGATAAATCTATGTAAAATTAATAGAAATATTAATTTTACATAGATAAATCTATGTAAAATTAATATTTTTGTGCTCTTTAACGTTGTCTACCTTAGTTCGTAAATCTATGTAGTTTACTTATTAATGATTTCAAAAAACCAGGAAAATGACAACACAAAAACCTACCCACATTGAAAAAATTTTTGAAATAAATTTTGAACCAGAAAATTGGTTCTTTATTCATGCAACAAGACATGTTCATATAGGAGGGCATCTAATCAATCTATTAACATAAGATATTGATTGCTGGCTCTATCTATTTCGGTTATAAACCACTAAATAAAAGCAGCCAGGAATATGACAGATTTTCTTGGGACAAACAAATTATTGACAGAAAAAATTATTTTAAGCGAAGCTTTTGTAAATAATACCCTCTGCGTATATTCCAGAAATGCTTATTACACCGGTTGAGATAAAAAAAAATTAGATATTGAAAAATTTAAGTTTTGAAGCTAGTTATTATTGGAAACATTGCTCGGGACATACCAGGAAAATGACATTTTGAAGTTCAATTAAATTTTTTAACTATACAAAACAGTCACTGCTAGTGCAGAGTCATTTTAAAATGCTAACAGCAATGCTATTTATAAATTATTTTTTTTAAAGTTTCTTTAGTATTATAGTGTTAGATCTTAGGGCAAGGGACAGTGAATTGTCATATTTCGTGAGAATCACCCTTGTAACAAAACTTCAATACTAAAGGAAAAAAATTGGATTAAAATTCGGTGTTTCCTTCAGTTATATACGATCAGTCTTGAAGAGAGAAAACCCATTGAATTATCTTTCTGATAATAAATAGAGGGAAAAAGTCTTATTGCATTCTAAAATGAATTTTAAAAAATTCAAGGTAATAATATTTGCGGACCGGCAGTTACGAAACACTTCGAAAGACGAATCCCTTAGTTCTTATAATTTTTTTTTAATTCTATTTGTTTAAAAGAATTCTGTTTTAATTCACTACCACTGATAAGAATGGCTAAATTCCTCGCCACGGAGCTTTTGGGACCAGCTCCAAACTGTTCGGAGTATGCCGTTCAATACCCTCTATCAGGGGTGATTGTGAGCTCAACTCAAAAAAGTTGGATCAAAAATTTTTTATTTGTGCAACACTTTTTACTGTTTAACCATCATAATTTATTTAATTGGATTTATGTTAAGCAATAAATACATTAAAGCTTTAAATAAAATGAATATTAAAAAAGCTAAAGATCTATTTGCGTTTACTTCAAGGGTATGAATATGAAGACTTCCAAATTATTGTTAGTCCTTCTGGGATCTTAATTGTCGTTTTTGGTTACTGGTCATTTAATTTTCCAACTAAATAATAGATGGTGCAATAAAGTAAAATTACTAAATTTTAGTAAAAACAATAAAACTTTTGATGCATGTTTCTCATCACTGATATATATATAACATCACAAATACATACTATAATATGAATGGTAATATAAATGTATTCATCACTGATACATTTATATTTGAAAGAATAAAATGTTACTCACACAAGAAAAGCATAACAACCATTACGGCGTATCCTCACATTCAGCAGAGATGCCTGTAAAGAAAGAAATTATATTATAAATAAATTTTATTCGTAATTAAAAAAAAAATAAAATAAAAATAAGTGGCTCAAGGGATAGAGTGCTTCTCTCCCAATGAAGTGACCCAGAATCGAATACCAGCGTTGGCTGGTTGATACGACTTCTGCTCCAGGCTCGCACCTACCACAATGCTTTCGTAAAATATCCTCAGTAGTATACGGATCATGGGTTTAGAATCCCTTTGGCGTCGGGCTAACCGTGGCAGGTTTTTCTCTCTGAGTAAAACAACTATGTGGGCTAATTCCATATAAGTTTTTGCTATTTGACATAAGCATTGAATTATTTTGGGTCCGAATTGCTGTGGGCTTAGGTATCAAATTACAGGAGGCACAAGGTCATAACTCAAAAAGCCAACCCGATCTATTTAGGGCACGTTTTATTGTTTACGCTACTGGACAAAGAATGGTAATTAAAAACGAATTTCTGAATAGAAGAGTAATCTTTTCTTTCTTAGGGCAGTTGTTTGTGGTATTTTACTGTGAACCACAGAAACTGCTCCCACACTGACGACATGGTGTCGTCAGTGTGGGAGCCCCTGATCATGCTACCGTGCGTTTCTGTCAGTGCCTTAAAATCTATTTCTATTTTTGTGCTATTTCTTTTGCGAAGTTTTAGGTGCTGTTTGGATTATTTACTATTTCCTGTTACTGCTCTTCGGATTATTCCTGTTATTATATTCTTATCGATTTCATGCCAGATAATTTATTTTGGATTTATATTTTCTGCAAATATATATATATGGGTGATTCTTACGAAGCATGACAATTCGGACCAAGTAAACAATCGTAAACAATACCCTCTGCTCTTACTTTAAGTAAACAATACCCTCTGCGTATATTCTAGAAATGCTTACATAGGATAAGATAAAAAAAATTTAATCTTGAAAAATGTATGGGAAGTTTTGAAGCTAGTTATTATTGGAAATATTGTTTGGGACATGCCAGGAAAATGACATTTTGATATTCAATTAAATTTTTTAAATATACAAAACAGTCAATGCTAGTGCAAAGTCATTTTAAAATGCTAACAGCAATGATGAGAGTAGTCAGAAAGTAAAAAAGAGGAAATCCAAGAAGAGGAAATTCAATATATATAAATCGCACTTTTTTTGTCTAATTTTTGTTTAAACTTGTAATCTATATGATTATAAATCCCGATATGAGGCTTTTAAATCACGTGCATATAAAATTCTACATCGAATTTAAAAAATGCGAAAATACAAATCATGATGAGTAATTTTTAGATCAAGATGCATAATTTTAAAATCGCGCGATATTACAACCGCAAAAACGAATCACGACATTGGATTTTAAGCTGGGGTAGCTACATAGGGTTTTAAAAGCTCGTAAATACAAATCGCGAAATTGGTTTTTTAAATCTCGTAAATAAGAATCGCAATGTTCAATATTTAAATGGCCTGAATAAGAATCGCAACGTTCAACTTTTAAATCAGGTAAATACGAAAATCGATGTTTGATAATAAAATCGCGATTTTAAAAATGCAAAAATACAAAACACGATATTAGATTTTTAAATCTCGTAAATACGAGTCATAATGTACGATATTTAAAAAGCGTAAATAAGAATTGCAATGCGCAACTTTTAAATCAGGTAAATACGAAAATC